TTCCATTTTTCAACTTTTTTTTTTTTTATTTTCTTAAAAAAAAAAAAAATCCAAATCTATATTATTTTCTATTCCAATAGATGATTTTTTGCCCTTGCAATTGTTGAACTCAAAAAATTTGACTACTCCAACATGCTCCATTAAATTCCTGCTAGTTTTAAGTCAAAAAGATAACATAAAAAACGTTTAATTTATCCTTCTAAATTTTAAAATAAAAAAAATTATGTATATATACACACTAGTACACATACACGTGCTCGGTTGAATTTCTAGACTTTGACATTTAGAGCACGGACAGAAATTACATGACAATTGCAATTTATATGTGACTTTTACTTTGTAAGAATATATGTAATTAAATTCACAGCAAAGGGAGAAGAAGCTTAGTTAAAGGGTTGGTGAACCTACGTTGACAATCAACAAAGTTACTCGAAAAGAAAACGAAATGTGATTACGACATAATTTGCTTTCAACTTCATTAACTAGCTAATACCGAAACAATAAATGAAGTAAAAGCAGTTGTTTTTCGGGGTCGTTTGAGTAAGGTTTAATTTAACTGAATCTTGTGTTGAAAAAATCGAGGCCCGTGTCGTCGTTTTCAACGGTTGAAGATAGGGAAGAGTTGAAGGCAAGAGAAGTAGAGGGTGGGTTAGGTACAATGTCACTCCTTGTGGATTTTGCTTGTTCCATGAGAGGCTGTGCTGTGCTAATGGCCTAACAAAGCAGAGCAGACGCTAAGCAGGTCAACTAAGTGTATCTTGCAAATTCCAAGAACAGCTTCACATCTAAGGTTAAAATAACAAGTCATCGTTTGAATCAGTAAGCCCACCGCTAGTAGGTATTGTCCACTTTGGTTCGTATCGTCGTTAGCCTCACAGTTTTAAAACGTATCTACTAGGGAGAGATTTCCACACCCTTATAAGAAATGCTTCATTCCCCTCTCCAATTGACGTGGAATCTCTCCATCTCATATTCGGAAGCCGTAAGTGAGTTGAGAAGTCACTGTCGTTGAACGAGGGAGGGATTTTGTACTTAGAATCCAAGAGTGGCAAGTTTTGATTCCAAGGTATTCTCTCATATCAGTTCTGTTCGTATAGTTATCATAGGAATAACGGGTATCATCGATCGATTTGGGGTTGACTATTTTCTCAGAAATCACGGAAAACTGACTCCCCTCAAGACCAAACCGATTTCCCGATCAAAATAGACTGAATGGACTAAACCAACAAATCCAAGTGATCAAGAAGGTCCAACAGATCGAGTCTAGTTTGATTTTGTTCGACTGGACCGGCTCGTATTTTCATCCCTAGAAAGATCGATACATTACTCTGCTATGATCGTATTATCAGGCAAGGAGGGAGAAAGCTTGAAGAAGTCTAAATGTCAGAAGCTCTAGAGAAAGCTTCGGTTTGACTATAGTTTTAGACCTTTTATCACGGTTCCTTTCAATGGATTCTTGTCTCTAAAAAACATAAGTTTGTGTTCTATTTACATTGTTCATCACCATGGAGATACTTACGGCTACCATTCGGACGCAATGATTGGAGCGGCTACACAGTTGCACACCGCTAGCACATAATATCTTCTTTGGGCTTTCCTTTGAACTTCCCCTCAAAGTTTTAAAACGCGTCTACTAGGGAGAGGTTTCCACACCCTTATAAAGAATGCTTCGTTCCCCTCTCCAACCGATGTGGGATCTCACAATCCACCTCTTTTGAGGCCCAACGTCCTCGCTAACACTCATTCCCCTCTCCAATCGATGTGGGACACCCAATTCACCCCCTTTTGGGGCTTAGCGTCTTCAGTGGCACACCATCTGGTGTGCCTCCTCACTGACACTTTCGCCCAATGTTTGGCTCTGATACCATTTGTAATAGCTCAAGTCCACCACTAGCAAACATTGTTCTCTTTGGGCTTTCCCTTCTAGGTTTCCTCTCAAGGTTTTAAAACACGTATGCTAGGAAGAAGTTTCCACACCCTTATAAATGATGTTTCGTTCGTTCCTATCTAACCGATATGGGATCTCGGCCAATTATAGAATAGATTTCAGATTCTTGAAGAATAATCAACTCTCAAATGAAAACATAATAGAACACTTGAAGCAACAATTAATTGAGTAAGAAGATACCAAAAATAAATGACTGCCTATCATTGACACAGCATGCTCAGCAGAAGAATCATTATGGATCATAAAAGTATGGCACAATTCATTACATAATGATATTGTTTTGAAGAGTAATGGTGACAATTTACAACCCTTCAGATATTGATGTTACGTGAAAAAAAAAAACTTCATGGAAACTCAGAAAGTAGTAAGGATTCAGATAAGGAAACGCGCACCTCCTTCACGTGCACCGCCCATCACGAACTGGCAAGTCCAACGAGCTGTTGCTTCGTAGAAAGTATCAAAAAATCGTCTGTTCGCCTAATTCTTGACCGGCAATCCCTTCCCTGAGGACCCTTTCAAAGAAGTCTTCCAATGTGTCCTTCCCATAACTTGGTGTTTTTTCTGCACTCTACTCTCGTGTCACAGGATCTAAGATCAACATACTTTCAGCTGCATAGTATCTTCCAATTTTCCCGTACTCAGCGGCATCTTCCATGGCGGGGACGAACTTGACAAGGAGGTCGAGAATTCCAATGGCGAAATCCATAATCCCAATCGGTACTTTCAAGAAGTTTGGTTCTTTCCCCAACAGCCTAAACAAGATCTCGCCTTGTTCTAACGGAGTCAACGCCTTCCCGGGGCCACCAACGGGCAAAACCTGATTGATTTAATTGTCACACAACACACAATCTGTGATAAACGAAGCCAAATCCTGCTTGCTGATCGGCTTGCAGGCACACAACTTACCATCACCAAACATCACATATGGCTTGCCACCCTTCACCAACTCAACTTGACCTCCTAAGCTCTTGAAAAAAGCAGTAGGCCTCACAATGCTGTATGTAAGACCACTGTCTTCTCTAGCTGCTTCCATAAGTTCAGCCTCAAATTTGAGCTTAGCACGCTGGAATTCAAGGAGGGGCACGATTTCTTCCAGCCACTAAACTGTTCTTCGTGGCCTCATAATCGATCTTCCAAGAATCCTTTACGCCGCCAGTTCGGCTAGCAAGGCAAGAAACAACAACATCAATAGGAACATCCAAATCCCCGAAAGATTTCTCCAAAACATTCAAATGGGTCACATCAGAAAAGCAAATATTAGCTCCTTTCAACTTATTAGCTGCTTATTCCTTACTATTTCTACCTCTAATTCCACTATTCTCTCTAGCAATGGAAATGACATTAAACCCTCTAATAACCAGCTCCTTAACAACAAAATTCCCAATATACCCTGTAGAACCCACCATCAAAATGTTAATATCATTAGGGTCTTTCGCTCTAAACGAAGATTGAATCGATTTAACAATGGGGTTTCGTCTTTCCCTACTGGATTTGGGGGTTTCTGATAAACGTAAACAAGAAGATCGAAAAGAGAGAGAGAATGAACTCACCGGAATCTGATAGACAAATTGAGAACAGAAACGAGTTGAGTCGCTTCTATTCACTGGCGAAAGAAGGTTGAAACCGCCGCCGCCGGCGGAGGAGCAAAGGGATATTGTTTTGAAGGTTGAACCGCCGGTGGAAATGGCTGAGTGAAAGAGAAAAATAAAAAACATGCGCTGAAAATGTGAGGTCGGAAATTTAGGAGTTGCATTTCCATAATGTATGTGGGTGAATTGTTTGTTTTGAGATTTTGGCTTTAAGTCTAAATAAATCTTACTGATTTTGTTGCCAATCACTTACTTAGGAGCGGCATCCTCCATTTATTTTCCAAAGGACGATTTTTTTTTTTCGCCTCTCTTTTTATAGACTTAGATTATATGAGATAAAAGTGAGTAAAAAATCTATAATCTTACTCGTGGACAGAGTCTCGTTTACTTTTTACTCAATTCTTAAGCTCTTAAACTTGCTCCACTGTTAATCTACATGCTGAAAGTTATATCATTGATTTGTCATTCTTAAGCTCTTAAACTTGCAATCCACGTGCTTAAAGTTATATCCTTGATTTGTCGATATTGAGATGAAAAATGAAAATAAAGACACGTCCATAATAGTTCTTTTTTTGTAAGTAAAAACCCTAAAGGAAACATTTAACAGCCTTTTTTTAAAAAAAAAAATTTAAATGCTCTTTGTTCAAAGACCAAAGTAAATCAAGCTTGAAAATTCAAGAACGGAATTTAAAGATGAAATAACACCTACAATATACACTCTTTTGGAAGTAAATTGCAGCATTTATAGACCATACCATTTTTATTTTGTTGGGTGCCTACTTTTCTCACCTATTGTTCGACATAGAAAATGATATCAATTTCGGGTTGTACGAGGCTGTGACCTAATTCAGTAAGATATAAGGTTGTCTATCTTTGGGGTTAATAGAGGGGTGGTGAGAGCATCTGATACATTCTTCATCAATATTGAGAAAACTCATGCAAGAACTGAATATAACTCAAATATCAAGATGAAGCATACAATGGCATGCGCTTCTGATTTACAACCATTTTCCTGGAGCTCTTGAAGAAAGGAAGCTGCAATAGCTAATGCACCAAACCAACATATTCAAAAATAACACCAACAAAAACCTACTTATTTGAAGACAAATCAAGTTTCTTGACAGATGTTTGATGCTTTAGAATGAAAAGTTTAGGACAACCTTGATCGAATGGAATCTGTCTATAGGTTGTACTACTATGTCCTCGAGTTCAAAGAATAAAAGGTTTAGGAAGACGTTTGTTTCGAAACAAAATGGTCGGTTTTGAAAGTCCACAAAGATAGGTTCTAGGCATCTGAAAATGAAGGATGTATAGTTGGTAGATAGAATAAGAGATACTAGTATAATGTATGTAGAAATGGTGACAGCCCAAGTATAATCGGATTGCTTTTTTGAAAGAATAGAAAATTATAATACCCCGATAAATGAAGTAACCAGAAGAGGGCTGGAAATGACTCGCCACGATAAATGAAGGGATTGTAAAATCCAATACATTGACCCAAACGCCTTTGATAATTTACACAATACGCTAAATATTGAGGTGCATACGTTAGTGAATGACAACTTATCAATCAAATCTGAATGGCAGATACATACTTTACATATTTATATCTACTTGAATTTACAAGCAAGTATTTGATATACATGAACAACTAGTAGCACACAAGTCATTGCAGTTGCAGAATGCTTATAGAGATGCTAAGGGTGTTTTTGTGTGCCATGTTGAGATCAGTGACTGTCAAAGGGATCACTTACAGAAACTTGAACCCGGAGCACCTCATGAACAGGACCTCTGCTAAGCACCCCAAGAACGTCTTCCCCTTCTGCCGTTACAAGTTCTGCCAAAGAGACTCGACGAGTATGTTGTTCGTCTCTCATGCGGAAGCCATAAAACCATCTTCCTAGCTTCCACCATTTCACACATATATGTTTCTCTGAGATCTTGCATCTTTGAAGTGCTTCCATGACTCGATAGGCCTGCCAGGAATCGAAATCAAATCAACAACTTCAGAATTCAGATATATGAGATGCAAAATAAGCTGGAATTCTAATAATGATCCTATACAATTTGAATGCCGAAACAGTCTTTCATCTATACAAATTTTGTTTCATCACTCAAAACATTTTCTAACCACTAGGTTCTTTGGCCATGAAATCATAAGCTAGAATCTTGTGTATTTAAGACTCTAAGCTTTTAATCTTATCCTATTTTGTTTTAGCCCTTAAACTTTGCATAAAGAATCAGTGATTAAAGTTTTACAAAGTATCTAACAAAAACCCAACATAGAAATCTTTAATTTATTTATGTGATACAAAAATGTCCATGTAAACAACAGTTTGAAACTACGTATACTAGGAAAGTGTCAAATTTCCAAAATAGATATGGAATTCTGGACAAATGGCTACAGAAGAAACAATAGCCAAGATTAAAAATGAATTTGTGTGCAAAGTCGAGGAACTATAACAAAAAAAATTTGAAAGTTCAGGACTAAAATAGAGCCTTTGAAGATTTAAGGGGGTCAAAATGGAACTGAGTATAAAAGTTCACAACCAAAATATATCTTAAACCTACAAATGATTGAACAAAAATGGTAAAAAGCAGCAGACGTACAGGGATTTCAAGCAAATTTGTGCAGTAGTGTAAGCCAACCAAGTTCAGCAGCCCATTAAGTTGAGGTTTGAAAAGCACCATTTGAACATCTATAAAACTAAGCTTCAAATCCCGCAAGCCGAGTATTGTCCTGAGATAGTCTCCACCCTCAATCGGTGTCGAAGGAGGGCATTGTTCTATAAACTTGACTGCTGCTTGGGCTCTTCCCAATATCTCAATATGCCTCAGGATGTAAAAGCTTTTCCATCCCTGGAAGATGTTTCATTTTGTTCGTTCCCAAACAGAATTATACCAATGACTTCAACAACAGATCAAGATCAACATCCAACTTAAGTCCACTCAAGATAAATATCCAACGTATGTTCAAATCATTACATACGGGGATGACGAAAATTCGAAAGGGCTCATTCAACTATTGAACAAAAAAGTTTTCAAATCTCTTCATTGCTTTCAAGAAACTAAGAAATACACGTAAATTTACAAATGAGATACTTAACACATCATAGGATGATCATAAGGCCAATGAAATAACATGAAGATGACTTCAAGTGATGGTGAAATAACTAAGATATATCCGCCGTATGTTTCACTAAATAATCAACCATTTCAGATAGAGACAGCTACATTTGAATTACGAAGCAGAAAGAACAAAAAAACAACCTCTCAAATCTCTCAATTGGTTTCAAGAATCCTAAATATAGTAACCATGTAAATGGATAATCCAATATGGTAAATAATTAACCGAGGTCCAAAAAAAAAAAAGGAGATTAAGATATGAAAAGAGCACCATGGATATGGGGAATTTTGCAGGAGTTGACGAAGAAGAACCAGTAGATGAAGAAGCATAGATATAAGGCCATCTTTCTCTTGCAAGAGACTCCCACAAACAATCGGAATCGAAAAGTTCCCGACATAACCGCGAGCAACAGCCCAAAGCACAAATGTCCGATGCCTTCATCACAGCCCAAAATCCACAGAGAAAAATCGATTAATCCCAAAGAAAATTCAAGTAAAATAAGAAGATCAGAATGATACAAAACTCCGCTTGAACCTGAAGAGAAGAAGCAATTTTCAGGGCAACATCAAGTGGAAGATGAAGCAACCCCATTTTCGATTGCTCTCAATTTTCTTCTTTCTCCGCTCAAAATTATCAATCGAGATTTAACCTGGAGAATCCTCGAACGATCAGCAACGATCGATTTCATGGGAAGAAAGAAAATGAAGAAGGAAAACCACCGATTGTACTGAATCCCTAACCGAGCTTGCTTCCCAATGGAGTATGCTGAAGTTGAGGACTCGTGGAGAAGGGCTTTGACGATGGAGCACACGTGGAAGTTCTTGCACGCATTATTTTTCACAAGTAATTTATTTTTTAAATAATTATTTTTTTCAAGTTAAATTATTAAATCTCTAAATTTGTGCCTATTCGAGATTAATCAATTAATTTGTAAACTTAAATTCGAATTTCCACGTCAGCTACTAATGAACCTCTGTAATTAATTAAGTACATTGGTGTGAGGCCTTTTGGGTGCACACAACACAGCAACCTCATGATAGTTGATGCTCAAGGTGGATAATATCATACCATTGTGGAGAGTCGTGTTCATCTAACATGGTATCAGAATCATGCCCTAACTTAATCATATCAATAGAACCCTCAAAAGTCGAACAAAAGACTCCAAAAGAAAAGGAGTTGAGCGAAGTAGGCATTAGTAAAAAATGACTAAGACTCCAAAAGAAAAGGAGTCGGGCCTCGATTAAGGGGAGATATACTTTGTTCGAGGGGAGGTGTTGGATGAAAGTCCCACGTCGGCTAATTTAGAGAATGATCATGGGTTTATAATAAATGAATACCGTCTCTATTGGTGCAAGACCTTTAGGGTGAGAGCTTATACTCAAAGTGGACAATATCATACATCATAGAAAGTCGCATTCATCTAGCACCAAACACAATAGTGAGACACTTTAAAAAGTTAATTTAATATATATAATTTTTTTTTTGTAAATTATTTATAGTTTTTTTTTTCTTTCCAAATTTAGTAATTATTCATTTATCCAAAAGAAAAATAATAATAATAACAATAAAATTTATGGGTATTTGTTTACATAGTTTTTCATTAAATTATTAGTTGGCCGCCAATTTAATGCATTTTTATATCTGCAGCCAAGCAAAATACAAATGGAGTACTCCAACCCTACATTAATGCTAAAGGCCTGTTTGGCAACGAGGTTAAGCAACTCTTTATCTTATTCTCCTTTTTCTTTTCTTTTAAATTAATTTGGATTCATTTTTTTAAAGTTTATTCATACTATTAATTTTTTTGTTAAATTTTTTTTTATTTGTTCATAATTTAAGAAATATTCTTACATGGTAACTTTTGTCACATTAAAATTATTATTATTTAACTAATTTCAATAAATAAAAAAAATACAAGTGGGACCAATTTCAAGATTTATTAAAAATATATTAACTAAAATAAAAATAATTATGAAATTAGATTAAAAATAAATTATACGTATATAAATAATAACATTAAATTCCAGTGATTTTGTTCAACCTAATCTAGTTTTAGATAATTAAAATTTTAAGGTTTATTAAAAATATATACTCTCAATATACCATGTCTTAATGAATATTCATTTGAAGTAAGATAAAGTATATTGACCGTACATCATACATCAATTAACATTCATTTGAAATAAAAACACGAGCCTCACTTGAATAAGTGTGAGGCTCGAAGATGGTTTTCCATCTGTTTTGGAAACAAGACTCAATGGAGAGGAGAAATTATCCGAGGAGACAACCGTAATAGGGTTAGTAGGTTTGCATCAGAGAGAAAATTGTAACCGCCCAAGCCCACCACTAGTAGATATTGTTCACTTTGACCCATTACATATTGCCGTCAGCCTTACCGTTTTAAAACGCGTCTACTAAGGGAAGGTTTTTCCACACCCACATAAGGAATGCTTTAGTCCTCTCTTCAATCAATGTGGGATCTCACAATCCATTCTTCTTGAGGGTCCAGAATCCTCGCTGGCACACCACTCAATGTTTGGCTCTGATACCATTTGTAACCGCTCAAACCCACCGCTAGTAGATATTGTCCACTTTAACCTGTTACGTATCTTGGTTAGTTTCATGGCTTTAAAACATGTCTACTAGGAAGAAATTTTTACACTCTTATACATAAATAACATTTCGTTCCATATAGGGTTAGTAGGTTTGCATCAAATAGAAAATTGTAACTGCCCAAGCCCACTGCTAGCAGATATTATCTACTTTGACCCGTTAAATATCGCCGTCAGCCTCACTGGTTTAAAGCACTTCTACTAGGGAGAGGTTTTTCCACACCCGCATAAAGAATGCTTCAATCCTCTCATCAATCGATATGGGATCTCACAATCCACACTTTTTGAGGGTCAGCATCCTTGCTGGCACACCGCCCGATGTCTAGCTTTGATACCATTTGTAACAGCCCAAATTCATCGCTAACATATATCGTCATTTTAGCCCATTACGTATCGCTGTCAGCCTCACAGTTTTAAAACGTGTTTACTAGGAAGAAGTTTTTACACTCTTATAAAGGATGTTTCGTTCCACTCTCCAATCGACGTGGGGTCTCACAGAAATCGTAAAAATACCGGAGAAAATTGAGTTAAGAGTAAGTAGATGAGTGTTGATTCATTAAAAGCACCACACCAACCCCATAACTTCCCCACCTCCCAGCTCTTAATTTCCTTTCATATTATAAATTTTATGTCCCACTTTCTTGGGAATCCAAACCCTAATCGTCTGAGAGAGGGAACATGGAAGTGGAGAGAAGATCAGTGAAAAAGGAAGAAGAAGAAGAAGAAGAAGACATGAACAAGAACGTAATGCTTAACCATATGGCTCAAATGGGTTTTAGGTTTTTGGGATTTGTGTTGAGCTTAGTGGCAGCCATTGTCGTGGGACTCAACAAACAGTCCAAGGTTGTTCCTCTTACTGTCTCCCTCAACCTCCCTCCTTTGGATTATACTCTCACCGCTAACTGGCATTACTTGTCTGCTCTCGTGTAAGTCTTTTCTCTCTCCCGCTCCGTTTTTTCTTTCTATACCTTCATTTTCGTCTTTCGAGTTTAAATCGAGCCCCGTACGAAGATTTAAATGTCTGCCCTTTTAAAGCGTGTTTGTTTTAATGTTTTTTTTCGGTATTATCACTCAAATAGTGATTTCTTATGTTTTTAGTTTAGCTGGAGATTTAAACCCGTGACAGTTTAGTTGAAGATGATCAGTATGTTGAGGATTATTGGGAGTGAGTCTCACATTGGTTAATTTAGTAGAGGATCATTGGTTTATAAATGAGAAATACTATCTCTATTGGTATGTGGTCGGGAGCACAAAGCAAAGTCACGAGAGCTTATGCTAGACAATATCATATTATCGTGGAGAGTCGTGATTTCTAACATAGTATCAGAGTCATGCCCTAAACTTAGTCATGTCAAAAGTGATAAAGTGTCGAACAAAGGGTTTACTTTGTTCGAGGGCTCTAGAGAAATGAGTCAAGCCTCGATTAAGAGGGAGGTTAACTAGATTTAAACATGATTTGTGGACATCAATAAAATAAAGGAGGTGATATTATTTCGGGTTTTCAAAAAATTTAATTTTTAGGTAGAATTAGAAATTAATAATAATTGACAATAATGAATATGGTCGGATATTTGTTAAAAATATAAATACGATCAACGGGTTAGTTTTGGTACTTTTACGAGCAAAATAATTAAACTTTTGGTGTTACTTATTGAGTCAAGTATAGCTATTATGAATTTGGCACCTTGACACGTTCGATGTTCGTATACATATAGATAGAAGTGAAGGTGGTATTGGATTAAAAGTATCTCGTGTTTTTTTAGGTATCTTTTAGCGACGAATGTGATAGCATGTTCGTACAGCTTCCTATCGTTCGTTTTTTTGTTAAAAAACAAGAACAAGGACAGCATCTTAGCGTTATTGGTAATTGTTCTCGACACGGTGATGGTGGCGCTGCTCTTCTCCAGCAGCGGAGCTGCAGCGGCGGTCGGAGTCATTGCGTACCACGGGAACTCACACGTGCAATGGAATAAAGTGTGCGATGTATATGGTAGATTTTGCAAGCAAATGGCAGCGTCTACTGTGCTCTCTCTTGCCGGTGCTGTAGTATTTATGTTGCTTGTTGTGTTGGCTTCTGTGGGCCTCCAGAAGAGGCCCAAATAAATGGGCTGGGCTTTGGGCCTGTATTTAAAGCTTCTTCACGGCCCATCTAAATGGGCTTTGGCTCTATTCCTCACAGCCCAATTTAAAGGTTAGGTTATCAGTTGTGGAATTGAAAATGTTACAAGAAGACTATTTATGCATTATATTTTTATTTACCTCAATCTCTTTTTCTCTAAAAAAAAAATAAAAATAAATTATTTATCAACCGAGTGTAGTTCAATCATTAAAATATTTAATATTTTTATTAAAATACGAGCTTGAAAAAAAATTTATGCCCCATATTTAAAATGGAAATAAAAAAAAACGTGTATTAATTTTAACGCAACGATACAATAAAAAAATAATTTTTTAAAAATCTATGGATTATTTTATTATTACTATTAATTCTAAGCTACTAATTTTTAGGCATATCTAGGTATATTCTTAATTAATACATTATTAATTTAAATAACTTATTTTAAAGATTTTTATTAATATGATTTAACGAAGATTAAAACATTCAATAATAATGAATTATTTATGAGCTTGATGGGTTTCGTGGCATAATATTTGACTTTAATGATGTAATAATAAATTATGTTTGAATTTTGGAACTTAAATAGAAATGGCTATAACATTAATTAATTAATTAAATTGAAAATGAGTGTCACCCACCAAGTAATGAACATAACTGCTCTGATCAACCACTTTTGGCACCATATATTTAATTTTCCCACATTTTCTGTTCCACACTTTCCCATCATCCAAACACTCTTCTTCTTCTTCCTCTCAATTGAACGGAGCAATGAGTGGTGGTGGGAAGTTGGAAGGGGTTCTTAGGGTTTTGGGGTTTGTGTTAACTTTGGTGGCAGCCATTGTTGTGAGGCTTGACAAAGAAACAAAAGTGGTTCCTTATTCTATCTCCCCAAACCTTCCTACTTTCGACGTTGTTGTGGTCGCTAAGTGGCATTACTTGTCTGACGTTGTTGTGGTCGCTAAGTGGCATTACTTGTCTGCTTTCGTGTAAGCTTCTCTTCTTTTTTTTTTTTTCGCTATAATTCACTCGAGATTACTCTCGTTTGCTTTTGTGTAAGCCTCTCTTGTTTGTTCTCTTTACGTTTTAGTCTTTCAAACTCACTCGAGATGTAATAACTCAAGCCCACCGCTAGCAGATATTGTCTCGACTTTTCCTGTCAAGAAATATTTTGTTCCCCTGTTCCACTTTTCAACCGATGTGGGATCTCCCAATCTACTCCCTTAGGAGCCCGGCGTCTTCACTGGCACACCGCTCGGTGTCTGCCTCTGATAATATTTGTAATAGCCCATGTCCACCCACCCCCTTGGAGACCCAGCGTCCTTGCTGGCACAACGTTCGGTGTCTGGCCCTGATACCATTTGTAATAATCTAAATAGTAGATAATCGTCATTTTTGGGCTTTCTCTTTCGGGCTTCCCCTCGAAGTTTTAAAATGCGTACGTTATTAAGTTTAAATCTCGAATCCAACCCCTAATCTCGAATCCAACCCCTCTCTCTCTCAACTGTTGAGCTATGTTCATGTTAGCAACCGTGCATGGGTAGTAAACATTAAAAATATATGTTTTGTTGTGAAGGTACCTTTTTGCGGCCAATGTAATTGCAAGCTTATATGGACTACTGACGTTGACTATTTCATTAGCAAACAAGAACCGAAGCAATATATTAGCTTTGCTGATCACCATTCTCGACCTTGTGATGGTGGTGCTGCTCTCTTCCAGCGCCGGGGCCGCCATAGCCATTGGAATTATCGGCTACCACGGTAACTCGCACGTGCGGTGGAACAAAGTGTGCGATACATTTGGTAGATTCTGCAAGCAAGTGGCAGCTGCTTCTGCTCTCTCCCTTGCTGGAGCCATCGTCTTCATGCTGTTAGTTATATTGGTTGTTGTGGGCCTTCAAAAGAGGCCCAAATAAATGGGCTAGAGGCCCTCTTTCTCAAATTTTCATTTTATGTTTCATATTACTTCAATATAATTAATCATAGATCAAAATATAAGATGTATAAGATGTTTAAACTTTATTACAGTTAATTATTATGATGCATACCTAATAGAATTTTGGTATTATATTTGACCATATATTCTAAAAGATCAGTTATTTTTCTTGAAAAAATAATAATTCAGGAACCTATTAGACACAAAATTTAAAGTTAAAAGAATGTAATACACTTCAAAAAATTTAGAAACCAAACCGGACTTATAATTACTTAACCTAACTAAACTGTTGACTTTTCGACTTTTCAGCCCAACACTTAAAATGTATCGTCAATCAAACATCTCGACCTTTAATTATCACTAAGGTCGCCCACCCCAAAGTATTATATCATACCCAAAAAGGGGAAAAACGATACATTTTCAAACATCAGCCTAAAAAACGATTCATATTGAAAATACTCGTGTCGATGAGATTGAACAACAGCAAAAATCAGAAGAAACTAAGAAAGAAATGAGCAGCAAAAGCAAGAGAAGAGAGAAGATATGATAGAACAATGGAAAATAAAGGTATTCACTCCAAAGTTAGTATATTATATGGTCACAAATTCATTATACCTGGGTTTCTTTAAGATCCCACCAATGGAGGAAGAAGAATTAACAACCTGAAAAAACAACAGTTTCCAAGATTCCACAACCCAATTACTCAGAAATGCAATCTTTGAAGTGATATTAATGGGAGTTATACATATATATATATATATATAACTGATACAGAACCCACCCAACCAACCAAACCCTCCTTAACATATGATGATGATGATGATGATCTCTATCACTGTGGTAGAACTGGAGGAGCTATGGCACGCGTGTTGTACGATTGGCAGTGGTTGCATTTCTGCCCGATTATGTGAAAGCACACTTCAGTCGTGTCGTTGCAGTCGTTGCACAAAATCCATACCTGCAAAACGTAGCTATAATTTTCTAGTTCTGATATCATGAAAGTTCTCAGAATCGGAGCAAAAAGGTTAGAATAAAGGAAAAACAGTAAGAATTAGGCGTTTCTTTTGTACCATTGATTCATATTTAAGTGTTCATAACAAGTAAGCATCAGGTGTATGTAAAAGATAATGTCCAGAAATCAAAGATTCAAGTTGGCTGAATCAATCAGCCAACAATCTTCGGGTAAATATAACGATACGAAAGACGACAAGTGGCTGAAGACAGTAATATAATCAGCCAACAATCTTCAGGTAAATATAATGATATGAAGGACGACAAGTGGCTGAAGACAGTAATATAATCAGCCAACAATCTTCGGGTAAATATAACGATACGAAAGAGTACAAGGGGTTGAAGACAGTAATATAATCAGCCAACAATCTTCGGGTAAATATAACGATATAAAAGACGACAAGGGGTTGAACACAGTAATATAATCAGCCAACAATCTTCGGGTAAATATAACGATACGAAAGAGTACAAGGGGTTGAAGACAGTAATATAATCAGCCAACAATCTTCGGGTAAATATAACGATACGAAAGAGTACAAGGGGTTGAAGACAGTAATATAATCAGCCAACAATCTTTGGGTAAATATAATGATATAAAAGACGACAAGGGGTTGAAGACAGTAATCTTTGGGTAAATATAACAATACGAAAGACGACAAGTGGCTGAAGACAGTAATATAATCAGCCAACAATCTTCGGGTAAATATAACGATATGAAAGACGACAAATGGTTGAAGACAGTAATATAATCAGCCAACAATCTTCGGGTAAATATAACGATACGAAAGACAACAAATGGCTGAAGACAATAATATAATCAGCCAACAATCTTTGGGTAAATATAACGATACGAAAGACGACAAGTAGCTAAAGATGGTAATATATGGAAAAAAAACCTTTTTGTCACGATATTCCTCCGGCATGACTGTTGCTTCAATCTAAACACATGGCAGATAAAACATTACAAGTCAAGAGATGATTAAGGAAAAAACTCACAAAACATGCTTGAACTTTTTTATTGTTACCTCCTCGTCTAATTGTTTCCACGCTTTGGACATGTCGATAACCGACTTAGAGCAAATTGGACAACAGTATCTGGGTTATGCCACAAATTCTCATTATACATCGATTATGCATCGTATTATGGCTTTCAAACTAATGAAACAAAGACGAGCTTTAGGACTTACTTCTCACGTATTATCATCTCGAAGTAACATTCGCGATGCATCGTGTGTCCACATTTCATAACAGCAACGTCTTTCAGCGAGTCAAAGAGATACTGTAAACATCCAACATGGAGGTGTGAGGATGTAAATATGGGAATTCAATTTCGAATGTTCGAAAGCACAGGAAAAGGCTGGAGAAAGACCTCATAACATATTGGACAGTGGTGCTGCATAGAGTTCTCGATACACGAATGATTGTCACGCAAATTTACGGAGTAACATGATCCTTTTAAGAATACAAGAAGCATAATCAGATCAAATGACCAGATTCTTTCAATCTAGAACATTACACCAAAGATCAATACTTTCAGAAGGACATAATAATCAACTAATATTTTCAGGAAAAAGTAAGCAAATCGAAGAATTAAACAGAACGACGATCATCAATAAATGGGGGTGCAGAGACAAACACGAATTAAACTGATACTAATCAAAATCCTTTAGAAAAGTAGAAAGATTTACCACACTTCTTGCAATGAAAATAGTTTTCTTGACCACCAACCCTGTTCACATGAGATTGATAAACTCAAAAGACTTGATTTGATAAACTTTAAATGATCAAAAAAGGGAAAATTATAAAATTTTGCAATGAACTCAAACTAACCTACAAATCCCACAATCCTCACAGTGGAACTGCCCCTTCTCAATCTGCAGAGAAGCATGGAAATCATGAAGGAAATGTACAAACATACAACACCAATTCTTGCTATTAAACTCCAAGTAAACACACGCTTAATGAATAAAAAAACAAGAACTAAGAATCATAATATTTACATCATCATCATAGAATTTGCATATTTCACAGAAATACTCTCCCATATTAACACCACAATTCGTACAAACTCGAGCAACCTGCAAATCGTGGTAAATAGTAACAAAAAGTCAACAGCCAGTTGAATATAAAAAAAAAAGCTCTACGACGTGTTTATGACTTTACAAGTGCTTAAAAACGACTTTTAAGTAATAAAAATATATTTTTAAGTAATTGGATAGTCGTTCCGAACAAACTCTTTACTTTTCGACTAATTAGTGGAATCTACATATTTCTTCACGAAGTAGACAAGATCAAAACTCAAAAGGGTATAACAAGATAGAAATAATATTCACATACTGGCTGCTCCGTGTCACAAACCGCACAGACGACCTGATTCAGGTTTAGGAAAAGATATCAATTGACTGTCATTGCATACTTCACGCATAAGAGTAAAAAATCCATGAAAGGAATGAGATAAAGATATAGAAAACCATACTTGTTTAACATCGAAACGGTTGAGTTCATGACGATCAAAGGGTCTGGTCATCACACTCTAATGCATCAAAGAATGAAAAACGTAAGCAAAAGTAAACCAGAAAGTAAAGAACAACAATCGATAACAAGAACAGACCGTTGCTTCGTTATGGCAATGGCGACAGGGGTAGATTTCATTACAACATGGGGCTCGAATCTTACATCTCCTGCGATAATGCTTGCATCTAAAACCAACCCACAAATTAAAAACAGAACTCAAATCAAGAAAACCCCAGTTCAAGAATCTTTACATAGAGCATTAAATGAACGAAAAGAAACAAAAGGGGCAACGAAAAAAGGAATGGAGAATTGGGTTTTTACCCATAGCCCATCTTCCCAAAATCGAAACGATCATCGGCTGAGACTTCCATTGAAAGGTCAGGCGGAGAGGGAAGAGAGGCGACGGAAGAGCTTCTTAAAAGGGAAAGAAGGGCTGTTTGGTTGTCGATTCAATATCTCCCCAAAAGGAAATGTTAATGATGGAGACCCCAAATTTATATCCACCTTCTGCATCTCGATTTGCAATTTTCCTGCATAAAAAATTAGCAAAGATAAAGCGCTTGCAATAAATTATATTAAATCTTAAGAAACGCCCACTTCAAGAGAGAGAAAGAGAGAGGATCCGTAAAGGATAAGGTGGGTCGAAGGCTGACATGGGAAGGTGAAAGGGGGAGGCGCCGAAATTTTAGCAAATGGGGAATTCAATGAAGGGTAAGAACTGGTAAGCCAAGAAACTGATTGGGGCATTTTAACAAACACTTCGAAGGCAACGAGGATTCCAAAACTTCTCTCGTCACTTTTTCTTTCTTGGGTTTGGAGAAATAACTTCTTCTTCCCTCACTTGATGGAGAAGAGGAGGGGAAGAGAGTGAGAATCCCAATGCAATTCAGTTCAGTAATTCTGGAAGCCATTACCGTATAAAACAAGTTTTTTCTTGTTTTTTTTTTGTCTCGATCTCATGCATTCAAAACATTTTTTTTTTGTTTCCATGTCCTATATAGAAATTTCCATTCGGGTCCGACCACTTACCAACGAAGGAACGGGAGAAAGAGTGAGAAGATATTTCTATCCTATAACTAAACGAGACCAAGTACTGTTCACATATAGAATATCTTAAATATTCAAGTCGTACTCAAATTAGCAATTGGGTTGTAACCCCACGAGAAAGTTATCAAGGAGGACATTTTAGTTTGTGAGATCCCATATCAATTAAGGAGGAGAACGAAACATTTTTTATAAGGTTGTGGAAACTTCTCCCTTACCAAACCGTTTTAAAAACTTTGAGGGGGAGCTGAAAAACAAAGCCTATAGAGAACAATATCTACTAGCGGTGTGACACCAGGCGGTGTACCAGCTAGGAGGCTGAGCCCCAAAGAGAGGTGGACACGAGGCAGGGTGTCAATGGTGGAACCCCATAGAATTATTTCAAACTCAAATAATAATATATATTTAATTATTCAAATTTAATTTAATAAAAATGGATTTTCTTATAGTAAAAATGATTTTGAATAATTAATAATTGAAAACAATAAATTTAATAAAAACATAGTTATTTATGTTTGATAAAATATTTTAAAATTAAATTAAAATTTAGACGATAGTTAAAATTTCAGTTTATAATATATAATAAACCATAAGACAAGTGGTAATTATAAAACTAATCATTATTAATTAATTTTCAAACATGATTTTAGCTTATAATTATTATTTTACAATATCATATAATTTACAATATAATATTTTAATTCAATAAAAAAATAAATTTAATTTATAACCTTAAAATATTATATTTATTAAAGTATACATATATTTATATTTTCACAAATTATTATTTCACTATTTTTCTCCATTTTACTAATTATTAAAATATTAAAAGTCGTTCAGAAATTCTTTTAACCCAAAAAAAAAAGAAAAAAAAAGAAGGGGTTAAAGGGCATTTTTGGAATTACACTTTTTCTTTTTTCTTCGTTGAAACAGTTTCCAAGTTCGGTTGAAGGGTAGAGCTTCAATCCTCCATTTTCGACCTTCAAAGGAACGAGAAAGACGGATCGGTAATGGCCATGGAGAAGGGGGAAAGAACCCTGACCAACCAAATTCCGCTCATACGATCTTCATCATTCCAACGCGATTATAACAGCATCAATCAACAACAACGAAAAACTGACCTCTCCGCTTTGATTTGCTTTCTTCTTTGCTCTCGATCTCTCCCTCTTCATTGTTAAAGCGGGAGAGATCCAATTTCTCCTTCCTGTTCTCCGCTGCCTGTTCTTCTCCATTTTGTCTCCAATCGCCGACGTTCATCGCCTCAACCATGGGCTGCGGAGAGTCGAAACTTGCTGTGGCCACCGCCGATGGTAGCCTCCCCCGCAAGAAATCTAGTGCCAGCCGAACCAAGAGCAGCCGCAAAGCCGTCGATGGATCGAAAAGTGGCGCCGATTTACCTGTGGCTGATTTGAAGGTCGGTGAGGAGAAAATCGACGGCGATGTGAAGGTTAAATCGGATAACAAAATGGAGCAGCGAGTAGAGGAGAAGAGCGATGTGCAGAAAATCGACGGCTCTGTGAAGATTGAAACGAAGAACAAGACTGAGCAGCAAGAAGAGAAGAAGAGCGATGAGGAGAAAATCAATAGCACTGTGAAGATTGACACGGAGAACAAGACTGAGCAGCAAGAAGCGAAAAAGAGCGTTGAGGAGAAAATCAATAGCACTGTGAAGATTGACACGGAGAACAAGACTGAGCAGCAAGAAGCGAAAAAGAGCGTTGAGGAGAAAATCAGTAGCGCTGTGAAGATTGAACCGGAGAACAAGACAGAGCAGCAAGAAGAGAAGAACAGCGATGAGGAGAAAATCAATAGCGCTGTGAAGATTGAATCGAAGAACAAAACGGAGCAGCGAGAAGAGAAGAAGAACGGGGAGGAGAAAATCAATAGCGCTGTGAAGATTGAACCGGAGAACAAAACGGAGCAGCGAGAGGAGAAGAAGAACGGGGAGGAGAAAATCAATAGCGCTGTGAAGATTGAACCGGAGAACAAAACGGAGCAGCGAGAGGAGAAGAAGAACGGGGAGGAGAAAATCAATAGCGCTGTGAAGATTGAACCAGAGAACAAAACAGATCAACGCGAGGAAAAGAAGAGCAATGGCGATGCGGCGGAGGTCCAGCAAGTGGAGAAGGAGGTAGCGAAAACAGAGAACAAAATAACCGGCGACGGCGAGAAGAAGAAGGAGAACGTCGTTAATGGCGGTGCCGTTGAAAAACAGGTGGCCGGCGAGACGAAAACAGAGAAGGACGCTGTTGTTAATGGCGGTGGAATCGAAGTAGAGCAGGGAGTTAAACCTGCCAAAGAGAAGCAATTGGCCGGAGAAACGAAGGCAGAGAAGAAGGAAGGCAACAACAATGGCGTCGCCGTCGTCGTCGTCGTCGAACAAGTAATCAAACCTGTTGAAGAAAAGAAATTGGCCGAAGAACCGAAAATCGGTCAGTAAAATTTTGACACAATGCAACCAAATTATTTCCAACTTATTTCACAAAAGGATTATTTGAAGTAATTCATTAAAAAATGGTGAAATCATGTGGACAGGAGAAGGAGAAAAAGAGGCAGTGAAAGTGAAAGAAGCAGCAGAAGCTCAAAGCTCAGGCACTCCCCTTCTTCCCACACAGGAGAAGACTGTGAAAGATGCCAATGTTTGCTAATTATTCCTCATATTATTATCATATTATTATTATTATTATCATATAAACACTTATTATTATCTTATGCAGGAAAATGCAGCTGATTTGGCAGTGAAGGAAAAGAAATAGAGCACCAAAAGTGGAAAAGAAACCGATTGTTGATGATGTTGTAAAGATCATAAAATGTTGATCATTTTTTTATTATGTTAATAACAACTCCTCTGCCTCCAAATATTCACCATTTCTATTTACCCATAATATCTACGGTTTGAAACTAAAATCCAACTTTGTGAATGTTTGCTGAATCACCACACCTCAATGGGGGTGAGAGTTCTCTTATTTATAATTATTTTCAGAATACAGAAATATGGTAAATTACAAATATTATGGAAATAGTAATAAAAGGAAAGAATAATAAATGAATGCAATATATTTGCCTTTAATAAGAGGGCAAATATGGTAACCCGTAATGTAAGGCAAATATCTAGATATTTGCCTTATAGTGACGGTCAACTATCCTTAACACCCCCCCGCAAGCTGAGCGTCGGATTTGAACGAACGTAAAGCTTGGATCTGAAAAATTCAAAGAGAGGTCGAGAAATACTCTTTGTGAAGATGTCAGCAACTTGGAGATGAGAGGGTACATATTGTGTGCGAAGTTTGCCAGCGATAACAAGTTCTCGAAGGAAATGATAATCTAGTTCAACATGTTTGGCCCGCTTGTGAGAAACGGGATTAGAGCTCAAAAAAATAGCACTTTTGTTGTCACATAAGAGTAAGGGCTGCTTTGAAATAGGGACCTTGAGGTCATGCAAAAGATGCGTAACCCAAAGAAGTTCAGCAGCGGTTGTGGCAAGAGCACGATACTCAGATTCACAGCTGGAGCGTGAGACAGTAGGTTGCTTTTTGGCACTCCAAGAAACCAGATTGTTACCAAGATAAATAGAATAGCCGGATGTAGAACGACGAGTATCGGGACAACCAGCCCAGTCAGCATCCGAATAAGCGACTAGCGTACTAGGAACATTGGATGGACGAAAGGTAAGACCAAAGTGGAGTGTTCCTTTGACATAGCGAAGAATACGTTTGACAGCAAGAAAGTGATCTGCAGTAGGGGCATGCAAGAATTGACTGACAGAATTGACAGCATAGGCAATATCTGGACGCGTAATAGTCAAGTACTGAAGGGCGCCAACAAGAGATCTGTAGAGAGTAGGATCAGAGAAAGGAGAACCATCAGCAGTCAAGTGTTGAGAAACAACCATAGGAGTGTGAACTGGTTTGCTATCGAGCAACTGAGCACGAGTAAGAATATCTCGAGCATATTTTAACTGACTAATAAAGAGACCATCAGGAGTGGGTGAAGCTTCAAGACCAAGAAAGTAACTGAGAGAACCCAAATCTTTGGTAGCAAACTCAGAATGAAGCTTGCGAGTAAAGCTGTCAATAAGAGATGAGTTGTTGCCGGTAACAATAATGTCATCAACATAAAGAAGCAAATAGATAATGTTAGATTGCTGATGAAAGACAAAAAGGGACGTGTCAGCGCGACTGCAAGAAAACCCAAGTGTGAGAAGAAATGAGCTAAAACGCTGAAACCAAGCACGAGGAGCTTGCTTTAAACCATAGAGGGCTTTCTTTAATAGACAAACATGAGTGGGAAATCGAGGATCAATATACCCAGGAGGTTGTTCCATATGAACACGTTCAATAAGAGTTCCATTGAGAAAAGCATTCTTGACATCAAGTTGTCGAAGAGGCCATTTATTTGTGACTGCAATAGAAAGCACAACACGGACAGTGGTAGCTTTGACAACCGGACTGAAAGTGTCAGTGTAGTCAAGACCAGGAACCTGAGTATAACCTTTGGCAACAAGACGAGCCTTGAAACGCTCGACAGATCCATCAGGCAAATATTTAATACGAAACACCCATTTAGAGCCCACGATGTTGGTGTTAGCAGGGCGAGGAACCAAAGTCCAAGTATCATTTTGTTGTAATGCTTGAATTTCTTCATCCATGGCAGCCACCCAAGCAGGATTCTTAGCCGCAGATTTGAATCCTTTTGGCTCAGTGGATGCAAGAAGAGCAGAAAGAAGTCCAGATGAGCCCAAAATACCAAGATTTGCTGGATGACGAGTCTTGAATATACCAGCTTTGGCTCGTGTGATCATAGGATGAGTGCCCAAAGAAGAGAAATCAACAGGAGGTTCAATAGAGGTCGAATTAGAAGTCGAAGGTGGCAAAGTGGAACCTGCAAGAGAAGTATCAACCTGCACAGACTCATCTACAAGGTCAGAACAAATATCACACGGGGATGAACTGGATCGAGGAGTTTGCGGTGATGAAGTGGTAGGGGGGGATGAATCAATATGATGAAAATGTGGTTCTAAGAAATTTGAAATAGGAATAGAGGAAAGAGGTTGGGTCTGGGAGCTAGGGATAGCAGGAAAGTGGGTTTCATCAAATTGAGCATGACAGGTGATATATAGCTTAGTGGTGGCCGGATCAAGACAGCGAAACCCTTTATGAGCAGGACTATAACCCAAAAAAATACAAGGAATGCTGCGGGGAGAAAGCTTGTTAGGCATATAATCACGCAAATAAGGATAAACACGACAACCAAAGGGATGAAAATTGTCATAATGTGGAGTGTAGCCATAAAGGAGTTCAAAGGGTGACTTACCTCCAAGAAGTGGAGTAGGCAACCGGTTGATAATATAAGCTGCAGTGCTGAAGGCGTCAACCCAAAAACGAGAAGAAAGATGAGAGTGAAAGAGAAGGGCCAAGCCAGTCTCAGTCACATGACGATGTTTTCTCTCAGCACGACCATTTTGAGCAGGTGTATATGGACAAGAGAGTTGATGGTGGATGCCAGAATTACGTAAATGAGTTTTGAAACAAGTATTAGTAAATTCGGTACCACCATCACTTTGAAATACCTTGATACGAGAAGAATATTGATTTTCCACAAATTTTTGAAATTGAAGAAAAATATCAAAAAAAATCAGATTTAAATTTTAAAGGGTAAAACCAAGTGAATCGAGAATAATCATCAATAAAAATAACATAATAAAGGAAACCCGAATTTGATTTGACGGGAGAAGGACCCCAAAGATCACAATGAATAAGATCTAACACATGAGACGACCTACGTTCATTGCGGGAATAAGGCAATCGATGACTTTTTGCAAGCTGACAGGTATTACATAATGATGGAGAAGGCAATAAAGACGTAAGAGAAAGATGACCTTTTCTATTTAAAAAAGAAATAACAGAATGATTCACATGACCTAGACGAGCATGCCATAAATCATATGAAGCACGTAAAGATTTGTTTCTAAGGGCTGAAATAAAAGCAGAGTTGCCGCGCTCCAGCACATATAGCCCTCCATCTCTTTTACCGGTTGCCACCACCCTTCCTGTTTGACGATTCTGGATAGTAATAAGATTATTAGTAAATGTAACGGAGAGAGGAAAATCAGACGTTAATTTACTTATGGAAAGAAGATTTTTAGTGAGGTGAGGGACAACCAAGACATCTAACAAGTGAATATTTGGAACAGGTGAAAGAGTACCGGTGTGGGTAATGGGTAGGGAAGCACCGTTTCCTACAATCACAGAGTCCTTACCCGTGTAATTTTTAGACTGATCCAAAATAGATGGGTCGGCAGTCATATGGGCCGAAGCTCCAGTGTCCAGAAACCAATCAGCAGTATCGGGTCCAGCAATAGAACATGACGTGTTAAAGGCTTCAGCAAGGTGAGCATGAGAAGAATCAGGTCGAACATACCGTTGGTTGCAGCGGTCAGCATAATGGCCCTCTTTGCGGCATATTTGGCAGTGAGGTGGTCGACGACCTTGACTTGAGTGGGTTCGTCCTCGATTAGAAGAGTTATTTTTGTGAGAATAAGAACGACCTCGCTGGTTGGTAAAGGAAGCAGGGTGGCTTCCATGGGTGCGACCACGATTAGTGACTGTGAATGCTGTAGGAGTGGAGTTAGAGGACTCAAGGGAGAGCTGAAACAACTCAAAACTTTCAGCTTTAGAGACTAAATCTGCAAAACAGGGGATAGAGGTAAGAGCCATCTGAGCAGTAGAAAAAGCTGAAAATTCGGTGCCGAGTCCACGAAGGAACCAGTGCACTTTATCAATGTCCTCGACCGGTCTGCCAATGGCATGAAGTTGGTCACAAATTTTTTTGAAGGCACGGGCATACTCAGCAACAGGTTTGGTGCCACGTTTCATCAACTGCAAGTCATCCTTGAGTCTCAGTTCACGAGCTTTCGACTGATGGCTGAACGTAGTTTCCAACGCAAGCCAAACATCACGTGCAGTAGGGAGACCAACGACAACAGCCATGGCTTCCTCAGTGAGAGAGGAGAGCAGGAGACAGAGAAGTCGTTGATCGGCTGCTCTCCATGCCAAATATTTGGGGTTGAGTGTTGAAGAGGTTTCTGGTTCAAAGCGAGGTGGTGGAACCCTGGTTCCATCGACATAGCCCAGCATGTCTTGACTCTCAAGAAGAGGGAGAAGTTGGCTTTTCCAAAGAAGATAATTGGAGGAAGAAAGTTTGATGGTGATCATATGGATTAGAGTATTGAAAGGAAGAAGATGATAAGAAGATTCGGAAGCCATAGAGAAGAAAGGATCAGGGTTGTTAAACCGAAAGGGCTCTGATACCATGTGAATGTTTGCTGAATCACCACACCTCAATGGGGGTGAGAGTTCTCTTATTTATAATTATTTTCAGAATACAGAAATATGGTAAATTACAAATATTATGGAAATAGTAATAAAAGGAAAGAATAATAAATGAATGCAATATATTTGCCTTTAATAAGAGGGCAAATATGGTAACCCGTAATGTAAGGCAAATATCTAGATATTTGCCTTATAGTGACGGTCAACTATCCTTAACAAACTTCTTATGTTAATATCAATTTCATTTCTGAATAATTATTTGCTTTTTTACTTTTTTATTTTTAAAATTAAGTATATAAATATTTTATTTTATTTTTTGAAGTTTGATTAAAAATTTATATGTTTTCTTGAGAGAAAAAAAAATGAAAATCATTATTGATGAGAAAAAAAGGAAAATTTAAAAAAAAGTTAACAAATATGACCTAAATTTTTATAATCCATCAAATTGGACCTTATTCTATACATAAGTGTTCTCCAACTACTACCCTCTATCCAATTTTTTGTTGATTAACCCATTATTTTCAACCACAAAAATAA